CCCCTACTCTTTCCTGGGAGTGAGGGGTCAAACCCTCCTTGGGTGGATGTCTCCAGTCTGTGTCCAGCGCCTTTGGTCCGAGGGCCCCGGGGTCCCTTCCTTCCCCTTTTTGCAGAAGCCATGGGCAAGAGAAGGGCTGGGGGGGGGGTCTCCCTCCTCCTGCGACGGTCAGGGCGCTGCAGCATCTTAGATTGCAAAGTTGCATTCCCTCTGCCCAGCAATGTCCCAGCACCCTTTTGAAGGCTGTAACTTTTGAGCATGTTAGGGTCCAACGTTGTGTCTCTCCGTGTATTAAATAATAAAAAGGCTACAGAGCATCCTTGCAAGGCTGCAGTGACTGGTCCAGGGTTGCACCAGGCCTAAGATGGGAAAGGCGGGGGTGGGGGGGGGGAGAAAGCTTCTTGCCCCCATTCCTGGCTACACTCCTGCCCCCCCACCCCTGTTTCTTGGCCTTTCCATTAATAAAACAAAGAGGCCTAGGAGGGCTGTCCCAGCGGTGCATTGGCAGAAGGGCTGGGGGCAGCCACATTCTCCCACCCCACCATTTGCATCAGAGACATTTTGTGCAACCTTCAGCGATTTGGGTTGGAAGGCTGGAGAGGGGTCTTGGAATAAAGGGACCTTGCAGTGCCCCTGCTGTGAATGTTGGCATGGGATGGGGGGCTTGGAGGGCTGGTTTCAGAGCCAAATTCTTTTGAAACTGGGGCCAGGTGGGAAGCCATGGGTAGGTCGCTGGGTTCACCAATGGAAGCAGCTGGGCAATGCACAGAAAGAAGGTTCTTGTCCAGCTTAAGAGTGCAGAAGCAGAATTGTGCATCATGTGCTGCACATGGATATTGTGCATTATAATTTAGACTGCCATTAATGCAGATGCCACATTAATGCAACTTTGCCATTCAGTGCAAGGGTTGTGTAGCACAGTTATGCCCAACTTCACATAGAGAGGTTCATAGAATCCTAGAGTTGGAAGATACCCCAAGGGGCTATCTAGTCCAACCCTTTCTGCCATGCAGGAAGACCCCATCAAAGCATGATGTGCAAAGTCTGCATTCACTTGAAGATTGCAGAAGAGAAGTTGGCTGTGTGGGCCCCTTGTGCATACAGGGGCTGGTGGGGTTGTGCAACATTGCCAGTCAACACAAAGGTTGCATAATACAAGGGGTAGGTAGCCCTGCATGCGGGAAGTCATGCTTTACAACTCTGAGGTAGGCTTTTGCCCAAAGAACTCGCATGTATTTCTGGGCTGAATAACTTCCTAAAAATTGGGAACAAAAAAAGAAAAACCCTTCATAACATTTTTGGCATTTGGTTAGTTTGTCGCTGGATTTAAGTGCCAGGAAATTCCTTTTTCAGCTAGGAAATGACCACCTGTGACCTTTCTTTCCACCCTTGTGGTCTGTGGGCATACCTGGACAGGGGAGAGGCCTCGTCCTGAGAGGTTAGGACCCCTTTTGGTCAAGGACTTGGAAGACTCCCTGACCAGCAGCTCCCTTCTACACAGAAGGTTTAGAATCGCAGTTGGAAGAGACCTCAAGGGCCATCAAGTGGGACTCCATTGCTCCCGAGAACAAGGAAGGCTCCTTGGTGAATGAAGGCCGATCCCAAATAGGATCACCTGTGCTTGAACTCGACGCTTAGAAGAGTTTGCAACATTACATGTCAATTTATTTGGTTAAGGGTTGTTGCTGTTTGGACACCCCAGCATTCCTCCTCACCGCTGTTTATGCTTGCTGGGCGTTGCAGTCCAACAACAGCTCTTGCCTCTGATTTAATGGCTCATTGCCTTTGCCACGGCTGCAGACAGAGACTGACCAAACCTAAATGGCCCATAGAAGACCAGGCTATGCAATGACATAGGTTTCCCAACTCCCAAAGAACGGATGGGAATGGCGGTGCAAGAGGCTGTGCTTTTTTTTTGGGGGGGGGGGAAGGAAGATGAGGTGCCAGGGCTCATGTGCTCCAAATTAGATCTGGGTCTTGTGCCACTTCCCACCCCCACAATCCAACCCAAGAGAAGAGAGAAAGCAAAGCCCATAGCTGCTAGCCTCCCACCCAACTTCCAATGCCCAGCCCAGCCATTTGGGGGTGCAGGGCAGGTACTTTTCCTTTAAAGACCCAACCGGGGGGGGGGGGGGGAGTTTAAGAGGCTTCTCCATTGACCTGGTGGCAAACTGGTTCAATGCCGGTCTGCAGCCACAAGGTTGTGAGTTCAATCCCAGGCAGGGCTCCAGGTTCCACTCAGCCTTCCATCCTTTTGTAAGCCGGTCAAATGAGTCTCCAGCTTGTTGGGGGCAATTGGATTACAGGTTGTAAAGCGCTTAGATAGTGCTGAGCTCACTATGAAGTGGTATAGAAGTGGAAATGCTATTGCCATTGCTGCAGCGGTGGGTGGAGAGCCAACCCAAGCAAAACTTTTGTCTTCTTTTATGCAACAGTGGCCTCAGCCTCCCTTTCCAGACTCCCTAAATGTCAGCTGAGGCTCCTCATAAGTCACCCCCTCAGATCTCCAATTCAATAGGTTCTACCACCCACGTATGCACAAACCCATTGGAAATTGCAGCTGGCAGGGAGCGCAGAATCCTAGAATTGGAAGGGACCTCCAGGGGCCATCCATCCAATCCCACCCCCTTCTGGCATGCAGGAAGACACAATTCAAGCCCTCCCTGTGACAGATGGCCATCCAGCCGCTGTTTGAAAACCTTCAAAGGAGGACTCCACCATCCTCCAAGACAGAAGCATCTTCCACCGTCGAGTGCAAGGAAGTTCTTCCTAATGTTTAAAATTTAAATAATGCCTCTGTCAGTCCACCCCATGCACCTGAGAGTCGGTTCAAGTCCACAAAAGCTCATGTTACCAGCTTCTTTCAGTTAGTCTCAAAGGTGCTACAGATCCCTTTGCGTTCCTAACACTGAAGTGGAATCTCTTTTTCTGTAGTTTGCATCCAATTTTCTGAAAACAAGCTTGTTCCCTCCTCAATATGACATCCCTTCAAATACTTAAACAGGGCTATCTCCATAACCTTCTCTTCTCCAGGCTAAACATACCCAGCTCCCTAAGTGGCTCCTCATAGGGCATGGAGGTTTCCAGAACTTACACCATTTTTGTCACCCTCCTCTGGACACGCTCCAGTTTCTCAACATCCTTTTTGAATTGTGGTGCCCAGAAATTGGACACAGGATTATTCCAGGTGAGGCCTGACCAAAGCAGAATAGAGTGGCACTATTACTTCCCTCAGTCTACTTCTATTGATGTAGCCTAGAATTGCATTGGCCTTTTTAGTTGCTACACCACACTGCTAAAATTCATTTTGTTAGTTCTGGCCCAGATTTCTAATTTCTTGAGGTCATTTTGAATTTTGATCCTCTCCTCTGAGTGTCATGCTTGATAGCAAGCAACTTGAAGAACCAGGAAAACATTTCTAAGTGTAAATTCACTATTGTTTTGTACCAGAATCAACCAACTCTGAGCCTTTCCCACCAAACCAGTACTTTAAAGCCCCCTCCCCCCCTCCCCCGTGGTCCAGTTGTCCATATCAAAGGCTCTTTGAAG